ATACACTAATTGTACTTATTCTATTTTATATTTGAAATAATTGTTTTTTCCAAGAATGATTTATTTTTGTTACTGTAATGATCAGATATCGCTTAATTTTTCAAAAGATTATGGACACTGCACTGTTTTCATTCTTTCCCATATTTCACTACAATTTTATAGCTTAACCCTTCCTCTCTTCTCTACAATCTCTGTTTGCGGCTTGATTTTTCAGTTTACATCCTAAATTATAATAGTAGTTAATTCTACTTTATTTATTGTTTTCTCTCTTGTCAAGTTCTATTTCTAATCTCACCATCTACTTGATCAATCTATAACTTTAAAATTCTCACACTAAGTCCTGTATCATTTTTTGCTATAATTATCAATAACCACTTGTGGTTTTCTTATTATTTTAATTTCTCCTAAATATTAAGTATTCTCTAACTTAACTTTAGGCATTTTTCCCATAAAATTTCCTTTGCATAAGGATTTTCTATTAACTTTTTCAAACAAATACTCATCGCTCACTTTCTTAACAACTGTCTCTTTTTTGTGTTTCTCCCTATACCTTGTCAATGTATCTCTGCCCTCGTACTTTTCCCCTCTTCAATATAATCAAATGTTTGGTATTTTCCTCGAATCTCTTATGACCAACTCCGAAAAAAGGGCAGACAATCTTTAAATAGCTTTTAAGAAAAAAAAAAAATAATAAAATTATTTAATATACACGTACACTCAAATTGTTCAAAAGAAATTAAAGATGAAAAAAGGGGCAATGGACAGAGCCATGGAATTGAGCAGTACTTGATCAGCTTGGCGTAAATTAGTTTTCTTCGCGCGTACGCGTTGTTGAAGTGCATACAAACTTTACGCGATCGGTGATTGCACAAAGGGCCCTCACCTATACCTGCATACAGATATAAGTACGAGAGAGCAGCTATAGGGCGAAAGAGAGAAGGGAGGAGCGAAAGGCGCGTGCAGCTAATGCAATATCTCTGCTGGAGAGCTTTGTGCTGTACAAGTCGTATGCATGTATGTATGCACTCAGAAATATATATATATATATATATATATACATCCAGTCGTAATTCGTAATCTATATGCACTTGTATGCGTGCGCGCGTGTTAAAAGCTATGCGTGCTAGTCCCAACATCATACGATGTATATGTCTTAAACGGATTGACCCAAAGAAAACCTCTAAAATCGCATAAATAACCCGCTCGCGCTTCTACGCCTTATATAAGGGTGGAGGCGAAGAGGCAGCGGACAGCGTGTATTTTTTGTTCGTGGGTGCGTCGACTTCGTCGTCTTCTTCCATCGGATGCAGTATAACGTGCACGTGTGCCTATACACGTGTATGATATACCTGGCGCAGGTGTTGCTGCGGACTCAGCCAGCGCGAAGCCATGTAATATCTGTGTTTTACACCACCACTACTTCCACTGCCTATTACTACTACTACCCGTACTATGGCGGGCACTCTCGCTCCAGTTTGTAGCGAATAACAAGGGATTTGGCTTTTTTTTCCTCCATTGCTGCTTATTTTTATACCTTTTTCGGCACGAATATTCCACGGGATTGACTAGTGTATTTTTACAAAAGCTGCAACACCACATAAATAGGCTATTGTTAGTGTAAAACTAGTTTTGTAATCTTACATGAGGGCAATCGGAGTGATGTTAACGTGACCTATAGAGTATGAATAGATTTATACAAACAGACTGCCTTCAAATATGTAAGCCCACTTGGGATTATAATTTGTTCATACAGCTGTTTTTTACACAATAGATGGTTTTAAATTCTTCAAGTTCAGTGAATTTCGTCTAAGCGAACCTTTTTACTCGCTCGAAAACTGGAGGACTTTGAAAAGAAAATAGAAAATGATTCGGTTTATTGCTAACGACTTTTTCAATTAATATTTTAGGCGTACATTGATAATCAAAGCAAACTATAAAAATTCAAAAAACGTTAAATTTTCTTCCATAAATTTTACGATGACAGGAAATCGAAAATAAATTATTAAAAAATTAGCAATTAATTAAAAATAATTAGTATAGTTGTACTTTTTTTTCTGGCGTTACAGTTTTAGTCGTGCTTTAAAGAGAAAAAGATAATTTTTTTCAGCTACGTGTTTTTCTCTCTTTCTTTTAACAGCTAATGGTTTGCCACCTCATTTTCTGCTCGAATGATTCATTGATTTTGATGCAAAGTATGATTAATGTTCCATGTTTAGTATCTATTTTTCTCTGTGACCCTACAACCAATTAATTGTTTTCTCACAGCACGATCCAAAACAAAAATATTAACCGATCCATCAAAGGCGTGTCGAATTAATTATTTTATCCACAGCCAAGGTCCGTCGGCATCTTCTGGTGCATATTAGCACCACGTGCCCCACGTCGCGGTAATAAAGCTCGCAGCCTTTTTTCATACACACACTCACACCGCTCCCGCAAAAAGAGAGGCAGCGAGCAACTTCCGTGACTAGTTGGCAGCAGGCGGACGGCAAAGATCGATAGATAAGGCGCGCGTGTCCGCGCTAGTTCGCATACATATGTTACATATGTGCAGTATAGGCACGTAAATGTCGTCCACGTGCAGTGCGCGTTACGTAGTTTTATGTTGATCGTGGGTGTGTGTACTGTGCGTGCGTATATGTTGCGCTCATGGTATAGGTCACGATCTGAAAAACTACGCAAACTCAGGCTCCCCTTCAAAGACGTCAAAGGCTCCGTAGCCTTGATTGTTTATGGTTGACTACGGGGCATGCGTATATATATATATAAATATATATATATATATATATATATATATATATATTCTATCACTTCGTACTGCGCTAAACACGAACGATGGTACGTTGCAGTTTGCGTTAAAATATAATATCGAGTGAAGCGTATAATATTTGTTGTTTATTATGTTGGGTTGATTTAACGTATGAGTTCAATGGCCAAAATGGTTTTGGAGGTGAGATTTTTTTTTTTTTTTTTTTTAATGCTAACACTATGTGATGTACGTTACGAATATTTTTATCTACCATTAGTAATCACTGTCTACAGAGCGCACATAACTAATCAACAGCGGCTGAAAGTCTGGCTAAATAACGTATATGTAAAAATAAGCACGAGAGCTCATGTTATATATTTCACGTAACTTTTAAATATAAGTTGACCAAGATTTGTCGAAATGAATAATTTATCCCGGCATAACGGGGCTTCAACTTTAAAATACATTCCCGACGAGAGAAACAACCACTTACTTTTTCATTAATTTTTCATACGCAAATACTCTAGTATCGAAACAACACGCGTGAAATCGATACATCGGCAACACTATCACCGCGAGAGCGTACACGAGTGATTCAGATCAAGGCGCCGTTCGCGGTGTGAAACATTGTTTATAATAATATACTTCTATACGAACTATTCGCGTAGCCACTCACGCCGGATTGGGACACTTTGTACGTGCACGCATGCCACGCTCTCAACACATGGCAGAGCCGTCGTTTCTTCCATTCATGAGAAAAAAAAAAGGAGCAGATTAGTCTGTGTGCCGCGGTGCAAAGAACACCGTTTCGAGGCTCCACGCTGTTGCATAATCCTCTCGTTCCCGGTAATCTGACTTTGGTAAACGAAAAAAAATAAAATAAATAAATGTATAGCCGTGCGCGCGAAAATGTCGGTGGTGTGACTTCCGGGCCGTCTTTTTATTGTGCTGACCGAGCGATATTCGTTCATTTGCTTACATGCGCGAGACGCGTTTCCTGATTGATAATTATGTATGTGTCTCAATCTTGACGACGCCTTCAGCTTTACTGACGGGTTATTTTAACAGTAGATCCTTCATGAATTTCCTAACGTAACTGGAGATGACAATCCAGGGTTACAAGAAAAAGTCAACACTCGAATAGCTCGGAGAAACTTTTGTACGTCTGACCATATTTGGCTGTTTCTTTTTCGTTTTAAACGATAGGTGCTTTAGGTGCTTCATTTAAACCATGAGGTATAACCATGTCTGGTTCTCAATTTATTTTACAGCTTTCAATATACCAACGTCGCAGTACAATTGGTAATAACAAACAATAATAACAATAATAACAAATTAATAGCAGTAAAAAATGGAAAAACACGAAACGTAGTTTATAAAATCGATAAAAACGATAAAATATAGCTGCAGTAGGGCACACGTAATTTAACCGTAGCAAAGTTGTATGAAATTTGTAACAAGATCTAAGAACAGTACCTGATTAACATCAAAAACTACAAATGAATAAAACCGATGTGAAACTTCGAAACGACAACCCATTCGAGATTACAATTATATCCAAACTGTTAGCTTCAAACAAATTGCATTACGAAAAGTGTAATATTTGTGCATCTGTACATAAGAGACACAAGTAAATAAGCCCGACAAAAAAGCTTGTCACGCTCGGCGGTCCGCTCTTTTGTCTCGTTCACTCTTTCTTTCACTTATGAGCATCAGCCGAGTGCCAATCTAACATGATTACAAGTAGCATGTGAGGAGTAGGGGGATAAGGGCTGCAAGAATCGAGAGGGACCAGTCGAAGTACACAATTAGTACAGCAAGTGCACGCGCTGTCGCGCGCGGATGCATGTGTCACGCGACTGTGCGTGCGTACGACTTGCGCTCGCCTCCACCTTCCCCGTCTAATTCTACTTCCTTCTAACTTGAAACATGTACGATGTACTGGGTTACATGGACCCGGGTATATTGCACGCATGCATGCGCCCTTTACGACGGTCACGCATCCGCGCTGTCGCTGTACGTATAACATTCGCCCGTGTGCATGCGTAGGTGCGTATACATATATGTACTTTAGTTACGAGCACAGTTAACGGAGTTTTCGAGCGACGCGAGTGAAGAAGAGAAGAGGGGAAAAAAGGAGTGCAAGATAACGCTTCGATCTATATGTATATGCGATGTGTATGCATAAACACGAGTAGCCTATGCATTGTAACAACGCTTGCGGAGCTACCGCTTCGCCAAAGTAAGAATCAATAAGTACACAGAGTCGGCTCGTCCGACCCTCCGTCTCTTTCGTTTTCTCTTCTTCGTTTCTTTTGCCCTGTAATTCGAGGCGACTCTTCTTTCACCGGCTGATTTTTTTCGGGCGTGAAACCAAGTTTATTAAATTTTGCTCCAACTCCTTACGGCCCTTGATATCATGAGTGGCTGGAGAATTTCATGATGTATTTGTTATGTGTATTGACCACTTTTTCTGCTCCTTGCAAAATGATCTTTCAGTTTAAAAATTATTGAAACATCAAAATCAACCATCATATTGACCATTTCAATCTTTTTGTTTTACAATTTATTCGACGACTCGGTAAAAGAAACGGTCAACTCAAATTTGTGATCAAAAAAAGATTAAATAAAAATTAAAATTAAAAAGCAGTTATAGCTTGGATTTAAATAACTCTCGAAGAATTTTTTTTTCTAACTTTTCACAGACAGTGATATTTTATTTACAAACTAATACAAGTATGCGTGCCTAATACTAATTATACTATACAATGTAACTATTTGGTAAAAAAAATAATTAGGTAGAGTACAAGCCAATTAATGCTCTTTTTATCTTTGTCAACGTCAAACTACCAATTTCACGGGACACTTTTGAAGAGCAGTTCTACTTAAAAATTTGTCAGAGCAACATGTTTTTGATTACATGAATTCTATTGCATTTCATCGTATTAGATTTTTATTAGAGATTTCCTCAACTACAGTACAACCCGAGGTACAACCATTATTTCTTCTCGTTGCTAGCAATATAATTGTGAGTATCTACTTTCAGATCGTAACATTAGAAGCATCGAATTATTATCATAACTCGTTGATTGACACGTAAAAGTAACTTGATTCAATATTAATTTAAAAAATAATTTGATTCGTAAACCAACATCACGTTTCAAATATTAAGACGCAAATAAAAGAAAGTTGCAGAAGTGCTAAAAAAAATTCACCATTAAATTAAGCAAACGATACGCGCCTATATCAAACGAACGATAAAGTGGCGAAAACATCGAGAAAACACGACTCCGTACAACAACGCGTATGGTATATGTATATAATAAGCGTGCGGGTAAGCTTGTAGTCAGACGGGCCACCCAGACGAGGCGACGCGACGGCACTTCGCAACCGCGTTATCGTAAAACTTACGATTGATAACTCGTTGTATGCGTGGAGAGGGGAAGACACGCGCTTCTCTTGTCTTGTCTCGCTGCAGCAATAAGTGTACTTGTATGCGTATAACCACGAGAAAAACAGGTGTCCCATCTTGTAGTAAGGATTCGCGCGGATGTGCACGTGAATTATCATGACGCGACTGATCGAAACGAGATTTGGTAAAAGTTACGGATAAGATGCGAAGGGTCACAATTATCTGGGTGACGCGCACGCGACGTTTCAGCTTTTTTTCGTAACCTTGACACTGACACTGGCGATTAGGCCGTAAATTCACCGCGATGACTGTGCTACGCGAGTGATAATACTCCGCCTGTAGTATCCTGCCAGTGGGAGAAATTTCGATTGTATTGCTACGTGTCAAATCAGACATTTTATGAAAAATGGTTGGATGATATCGTTCATATTGATTTTTCGTAAAACAAGCCACTTTTTTCACAATAAATCAACGCTAATTAAAATCGACCGTGCAAAATAAATCCGCATCAGCGAGTGAAAGATTATTTTTGCCCACTTTTCATCTCGTGGCCAATTTATTGAGATATACGTGTACCTAAAGGCGCGCATGCATATCTTTGATTTCTTCATAATTACACATCGAGAACCGCGAAAACTTTCCTCTGATAGACCGATGTATCACGTATTACCCACGCGATTTTATTAACATCAAAACTGTGACGGATTTTTTTTTTTTTTTTTTTTTCCACATCTTTTTAGAGCTAATGAACATCTTTCAAAGCACGTGCGTGCGTAAAATTTAATACCACCTGCGCGCTCTAAAAAGAGAGGACAGCTCGTGCCCCGCACGTACGATGTAATAAACACACAGAGATAAAAAGCCGACACAGATGTTACCTTCGAGAGGTCAGAGGACTAATCGCAATCCACGAGATACATCCCCAGTGCGTCAGCCTCATTAAACACCGCATTAACCTAATGATAGGTATACAAAACGTCAGTCTCTCCGTGTCCGTCCTGAGGCGTCCTTCCTTCGCGTTGGGCCAACAACACAAGGAGAGGCTGCAGCACCGGCGCTGCTCTATCATTAACTCTTTACACCAACCCGCCCCGGCGCCTGTCGCGCGCTCTCTCGTCGCGAATCAAAGGAATCCCCTCGCCCCCAAAACAGACGCGCCGAGTACTCCCGCGAGGGCTCACGATATTAATAACAAGCTTCGGCTCTCATCAGCTGCGGAATAATAACGTTGTAAAAAAGAAAAAAAAAAAAAAAAAAAAAAAAAAAAAAAAAAAAAAAAAAAANAAAAAAAAAAAAAAAAAAAAAAAAAAAAAAAAAAAAAAAACATAGCGTGGCAGTGGGTTAAGTCAAGTCGAGGGAAAAAAGTTTAAGAGCGATCACGCGAACAAACATAACAATAACAGAGCAGTACATTGGTTTCTTATGTCGACTTTCGTCGTGTTTGTATTGTGTTTCATGTACCTGCCTACCAACGTTGGAAAAAAAAAAAAAAAAAAAAAAAAAACTAGCATCAGCAGCATCATCATCATCATAATCATCATCAGGGTTGTGGGCAGTACAGACATGGGAAGTGAGCATTACTGCCTGAGGTGGAACAATCATCAGAGCAACTTGCTGGGTGTGTTCAGTCAGCTGCTGGAGTCCGAGTCGCTGGTGGACGTGACGCTGGCGTGCACGGAGGGCCCGTCCATACGCGCGCACAAGGTCGTACTCTCGGCGTGCTCGAGTTACTTCCAGGCCCTGTTTCTCGACCATCCGAACCGCCATCCCATCGTTATACTGAAGGACGTGCGCTTCGCCGAGCTGCGCACTCTCGTCGACTTCATGTACAAGGGCGAGGTCAACGTCGAGTACTGCCAGCTGTCAGCTCTCCTCAAAACGGCCGAGAGCCTCAAGGTCAAGGGCCTCGCCGACATGACCAACATCAACACGGCGGCCGTGCACCAGCAGCAACAATCACAGCCAACACTCGCCTCCAGGGATTCGGAGTCGTCCCTGCTGGCGCCGTCCTCTGCGACGCTGCCTCAGCTCCACCATCACCACCAACAGCAACAACAACAACAACAACAACAACAACAACAACAACAACAACAACAACACAACTCGTCGTCCTCTTCCACGACCTCCTCGTCCTCCTCCTCGTCGACGTCGTCGTCGTCGTCGGCGGTGTCCGCCAACTCGACTACGGTGGCGGCGATGATGATGACCACGATGACGACAACGACTTCGATACCAGCGGCGACGCCAGCCGCGACGCCGACGACGACGACGCAGACGACGACGGTGACCACGCAAAGCGAGCCGATGCAGGTGCAGGACGTGCCGGACGAGAGGTTGCACTGCAACAACAGCAGCTACCGGGGGAGGAATAGCGAGCGCGATCGGGACTGCAGGGACCGGGACAAGGCAGAGCGGGACAAACGGGACACGAGGTCGAGGGAGCGCGAGCTCAACAGCAACTTGAGCCTGTGCGTGGTGAAGAACGAGTGCGGCTCGGACGACGTGGACATAGACGAGGAGGACGAGTGCCCGGCGTCGCCGGTCTCGAGGACGAGGACGAGGATGGGTGCGACGACGCCAGGGGCAGCGACGGCGATGACGACGGCGCCGAGGCCGACAAGCCCCTGCGTCGGGCCTCTCGCGTTGGACCGGCCGCGGTCGAGGCGTGACTCCGACTCCCCGGCTAGCATGGAAGAGACGAGGGGCTCGGTCAGTCCCTCGTCGGCCCACAGTGGTCCTAGCGACATGAGTCTCAGCAATAATAACAACAACAATAACAACAACAACGGCAGCAGTGGAGGAGGTGGTGCTTGCGGCGTCGCCCCGGTAACGATACCGATCGGCAGCCTCGTCCAGGGTAGACTTCCGTCCCCGCACAGCACGGAGCCTCTAGCGGGGCCCTCCGGCTTGCCTCCGGTTCAGCAGGTGCCGCTGGTAAGTTATGTCTCTATTTTTTTTATTTTTTTTTCCGCTTTATCGCCCAACGCCGATCTGAACCGATTTTTCGCAAACAATCCAAAGTTTCCTCATACGGTGTAACAGTAAAATTTCTACGGGTAAGATACAAGCATATACGTTTGAAAAAGAATATAGTATAATAGTTCGTCGAGCTTATTAAACAATACTCGAGCACATCAGTCGGACGATAAGCGGTGCATGGATGATCTTTGATAACGATATATATCGGACTATCTTTGAACGCGAAAGAGAAAAAGGATCCACTGAAACATTGTAAAATCTTGTGCTTATTTTTGCTTTGCAGTCGCTGAAGAAGGAAGTGGACTGGGAGAGGTCGACAGAGGAGCGGAGCGCGAGTAGCGAAATGTCCAGCGACTACAGACTTCCACCGGATCCGGTGAGTCCCGTGCAGCTATCTTGCATTTTTTAACTTGGATATCTTATTGATTATTATTATTATTATTATTATTATTATTATTATCATTATTATTTTCACCATCATCATCATTGTCATCGTCATCGTCATCATAATTACCATCGTCATCAACATCATCGTCATCGGCATCATCATCAGCATCATCTTCATCATCATTCTCATCATCATCGTCATCATCATTGTCNTACTCTTGCTATTGTTTTTTATTGGTATTTTTTTATTTTATTTTATTTTATTTTTTTTTTTGTAATGTACATCGCTCTCGACGGCTCTCGACTCTCACACGGATGCACGTCGTACAAAGTAGCATCTGCAATATAATATATCGTGTGATACGATGACGAGCGTAATATATACTCTCTATAGCACGGCGACAAGGTCGTTAGGTTGCAGATGACAATGCGAGGCGAATTTTCGCAAGCCGCGACAATGTTTACCTTGTGTATTTATTTATAAAAATATTACGGGAGTCTACGTGGTGTCTCTCGCGTATGTTTCACACCATTTTAAAAAAATTTTTGTTTTTTAGTTTTTCTACTCTTTCGATTTTTCTTTTGCGTTCCAATCACGAGATGCTAATAATTTTTCAAAATTATTTTTAAACTTATGCTTACACGTATTTCAAAAAATTATTGTTCTTTATTTGTTTCACATTTTTCTTTTTATTTTTTTTTTACATTTTTATTTCAACACACGCATTTTTTTCGGTTGTTTATCGTTTTCGACGAGTTAGTGAGCGATAAGTTGAATATCTGAGAGTTTTCTTGATGATAATACATGAATGTCGTTGTGAACATGTTTTTTTGTAAATCGGAGTTACCTTACAGTAATACAAATGTGCATGTGGGTTTGCTGCATGTGCCCAAACAAGCTTTGCTGTTTGCTACACACTATCATGCCAATTTTCCAAATTTTCCTACTTCATGACCTATTATTCGAGATTAATATGGAATCCCAATGTTACAGGGTTTCGCGTGAATTAAAAAAAAAAAATTTCTTTAAATTTGATAAAATTAAAAATATCTTTTTTTATATCGTAAATTTTTGGACGTTTACAGTGCTCTCGGTGAGAACAACTACTATTCTTTTTGTGAATTACGTAATCATTTTTTTTCATTTTGGAAAATCTTTATTCAAGTTTTTTTTTTTTTTTTAGTTTAAACGATATTCACGAATGATACTGTTTTAAATCGCTTTTCATCGCCTACTTTGCCGTAGTTCTATGTGTGCATCCCGTTTTCTCTCTTTTACTCTTATATATCTTTCTTATCAAAGCCTCACCGCTTACCTTCTGTCACTTACTTTGCTGTCTACTGTCACCACATCTCCCTCCTCACCCACTCTTTCTACTCCCTCTCAGGCATACTATAAGCGACGACTCTGTGTGTATACGTGCACTTACCCAACGTGGAATTCATTACGCACATTCCGTCAAGCCTCAAATCAACCTGAACTTGAAATTTCATAAACGCAATTTTAGGTGCTCGTTTAAAAAAAAATTCCTTTCATCTCAAATGAGAAGAAAAAAAAATATAAAATACATGAAAAAGTGTACAAGTCTTGTGTTTAATCAACTTTAATTTCTAACGTGTTAGTTAATAGATACCAAAAATAAATCAAATAATTTACGTGAATTATTAAAGATCAAAAAATAATTTTTGTTTCTTTCGCGTCTCAGATGATCAAATCAACCTTTTCATAACGCAAAACTGCCTCTACAAGCAATCAGCTCACCCGAACATGACTGTTTTATAACATATTTTGCAACAAACTTAACATTAAAGAAGTTGACCTTCGTTTTTGGACATTGCTTTATGTTATTAAATTTATTATCATTTATACGAAAAAGATGATGTCACTTATTCGCGATCGAACAAATATAGCTCTCAAAGCTAACATAAACATGCATCTTCTAGTACACTAATTAGTTTTTTTTGTCTTATTATGAATTATTGTAGATTTTTTCGAGCCAAACATGTATTTATGAAACGAAAGTCGACAATAAAACGCGTACGCACTTATACACACTCCATAAACATCCAACACCTACACACACACATGTGTCTTTCAAAACGTAATTTTGGAAAAAAAGTAATAATATAAGGGTGTCAAAAATAATCATTTCTGCCGACATACATTATTCATGAGTAAGCTCACAAAAAATCGTTCGTTATATGGTATGAAAATTAATTAAAATAACGTTGAATTTACTCTACTCTAATCTATATTAGTCCAACTTTATTCAAAAAATTCTAATTAATTGGAAAAATTACGTTACCCCTAAAAAGTTGATTTGACATTTTTGTCAACTGTTGTGAAATATTTTAAGTTAATCAAGTAGAGGCTGGGCAAAAATAAAAGTATACAAATAAATTACGTAAAAAAAGCTTTCAAATGTTGAGTTATACAAAATTACAGACAGTTTAAACTGACTACTGCAGATCATGATTTTATAACTTGGTGAGTTTTGTTTAGAAGCTTAATCGATTAACTCCATAAATAATTAAGAATCTGAAGAAACGGTACTTTTCATAAATTGCTCACTTTTTTATTGAAAGCAGAATAATAATGGCTTTCAGTTATAACTTTCTTTTAGAATTGAGAGGATGTAAAGATAAAAAAAAAAAAAAAAAACAATAAAAAACGTCAGCCGAGCTTGAATATAGTACCTTTAAGGTAAAAAAATCCAGATGCAGTCAATTTTAATAAAATTTTGTAAATTAAAAGAGTAAACTTGAATAGCTAGTAACTTTATATCTCGATATTTACTTACGTGTTTATTTTGCGTACTTTAGATTTTTTATCAGCTCATTTGGGGAGAAAACTACAAAGAAAAATAATCGAATTTTCACAAGTTGAAATAATTCACCTAAAAAATTTCAAAATAGTCCAAAAAAGCTTATAAAATTGACTTTTTAGTGTTTTCGAACTTTTGCTAAATAATATTTTGAACAGAAAATGACAAACAAAAAACCGTAAAAAGAACTAAATTGATATTTTCTCTTACCATATAACGCGTGAATTCGTGAAATCGCTCATGTATATTCAGTACGTACTCAGCATTACATCATTTACTTTCTTACTTTGTTACATTGTCATATATATTACATTCTATATATATTTATATATAACAGTATATACAGTCAATATTGTTATTATGATATATATTATTACTATTATTGTTCTTGTTGTTATTACTACTTACTACTCTTGCTATTGTTTTTTATTGGTATTTTTTTATTTTATTTTATTTTATTTTTTTTTTTGTAATGTACATCGCTCTCGACGGCTCTCGACTCTCACACGGATGCACGTCGTACAAAGTAGCATCTGCAATATAATATATCGTGTGATACGATGACGAGCGTAATATATACTCTCTATAGCACGGCGACAAGGTCGTTAGGTTGCAGATGACAATGCGAGGCGAATTTTCGCAAGCCGCGACAATGTTTACCTTGTGTATTTATTTATAAAAATATTACGGGAGTCTACGTGGTGTCTCTCGCGTATGTTTCACACCATTTTAAAAAAATTTTTGTTTTTTAGTTTTTCTACTCTTTCGATTTTTCTTTTGCGTTCCAATCACGAGATGCTAATAATTTTTCAAAATTATTTTTAAACTTATGCTTACACGTATTTCAAAAAATTATTGTTCTTTATTTGTTTCACATTTTTCTTTTTATTTTTTTTTTACATTTTTATTTCAACACACGCATTTTTTTCGGTTGTTTATCGTTTTCGACGAGTTAGTGAGCGATAAGTTGAATATCTGAGAGTTTTCTTGATGATAATACATGAATGTCGTTGTGAACATGTTTTTTTGTAAATCGGAGTTACCTTACAGTAATACAAATGTGCATGTGGGTTTGCTGCATGTGCCCAAACAAGCTTTGCTGTTTGCTACACACTATCATGCCAATTTTCCAAATTTTCCTACTTCATGACCTATTATTCGAGATTAATATGGAATCCCAATGTTACAGGGTTTCGCGTGAATTAAAAAAAAAAAATTTCTTTAAATTTGATAAAATTAAAAATATCTTTTTTTATATCGTAAATTTTTGGACGTTTACAGTGCTCTCGGTGAGAACAACTACTATTCTTTTTGTGAATTACGTAATCATTTTTTTTCATTTTGGAAAATCTTTATTCAAGTTTTTTTTTTTTTTTTAGTTTAAACGATATTCACGAATGATACTGTTTTAAATCGCTTTTCATCGCCTACTTTGCCGTAGTTCTATGTGTGCATCCCGTTTTCTCTCTTTTACTCTTATATATCTTTCTTATCAAAGCCTCACCGCTTACCTTCTGTCACTTACTTTGCTGTCTACTGTCACCACATCTCCCTCCTCACCCACTCTTTCTACTCCCTCTCAGGCATACTATAAGCGACGACTCTGTGTGTATACGTGCACTTACCCAACGTGGAATTCATTACGCACATTCCGTCAAGCCTCAAATCAACCTGAACTTGAAATTTCATAAACGCAATTTTAGGTGCTCGTTTAAAAAAAAATTCCTTTCATCTCAAATGAGAAGAAAAAAAAATATAAAATACATGAAAAAGTGTACAAGTCTTGTGTTTAATCAACTTTAATTTCTAACGTGTTAGTTAATAGATACCAAAAATAAATCAAATAATTTACGTGAATTATTAAAGATCAAAAAATAATTTTTGTTTCTTTCGCGTCTCAGATGATCAAATCAACCTTTTCATAACGCAAAACTGCCTCTACAAGCAATCAGCTCACCCGAACATGACTGTTTTATAACATATTTTGCAACAAACTTAACATTAAAGAAGTTGACCTTCGTTTTTGGACATTGCTTTATGTTATTAAATTTATTATCATTTATACGAAAAAGATGATGTCACTTATTCGCGATCGAACAAATATAGCTCTCAAAGCTAACATAAACATGCATCTTCTAGTACACTAATTAGTTTTTTTTGTCTT